CGCGTCGCAAGCTGCATCTTTCGGTGCGCCCGGACCGCCTCCTCTCTCTCTTTCTCTCTTGCGCTACCTGCACCCTCGGGCGGTGAGCTCGCTTTTACACCTGCGGATATTACACCGGCCGGTCTTCTAATTTGTAATCGCATCCGCGTCGCGCGTGGAAACGTCTGAAAACGCCGAGCCATTCGGCCGATTTTTGCCGCTTGCCCGCCGTCCCGCCGCGAAAGGTAAATCCGCTTTACGCGGTTGCAAATATTGTGGCAGAAGCGTCGCCGTCGCTACCTGCTCGCCGGCGTCCTCTTTGTCGCTATATGCGCGGCATTCGCGGTAATTAACGCGTAATAGCGTAATGGACGGTGGGCAAGGCGCGCTCGCGCGTGCGAGTTACGTGGGTTCACGAGTACTCTCGCACTTTTCGCGAAGCGTTCCGCGAGGCATTTGCATAAACCGCCGTGCCTGCGCGTGTCCCGCGTCTACGTTTAACTTCATCAGGTCGGGACCGCTTGTAATTAAGTCTCGATTCGAGAGTCCGCGTTGCGAATGCCTTCGACAAACACTCGTGTCCGCGCCTCGCTGCACATGAAACGCGGAGGAAGAATGACATATTGACGCGTGAGAGCACAAGTCCTATTTAAATTCCTATAAATTCCCATCGATTTACGTCGCTGCCGTATGTTTTTTTTTTTCTTTCCCGTCCACGCGCGCAAACCGGAATGCAAAACGACGGACGCGTGAAAAGCCCCGCAATGTATTGGCCTATATGCATATCCAATCGCGAGCAACCTCGTAAAGTTGTGTCGAAAGCGACGAAATACAACGAACGTTCGTAAAATGTGTGTGTGTGTGTGTGTGTGTGTGTGTCGAAAGCTTTCTCGCTCTCGAGCTTTTCGGGCGTGTCAGCAGACAGACCGATCTCTCTCACTTCGGTATATTGTTTGCGCCATTCGCTCGCAAACAAGCCTCTTATTATTTTGCAAATAATAGGCAAATTTTTTCATTATTAATTAAAGAAGCCTTCATATATTATTTTTAAGGAATAATAACTCGAAATTCTGCGTGTTGTTGTTCGCAAAATGGTAGAGGACTTTTCTGCTCATTTCAATCCGTTCCACATCCTTACGGATGTTTGTCCCTGTTGATTGCTCTGCGACATTTTGCATATACAACATACATAATATGTATATATATGTGTGTATATGTGTTTCCATTAGAAATAACATATTTCGTTAGTAATACATATGGAGATACGCGCAACGTATAAACTAATAATATAAACCTCCGGAATTTATATACTATGGAAATCGCTCAACGTATCGTATCGATGAAGAAAAATGCATTGGCATAAACACAGGCCTGAAAATCTAAGAGGATTGCACCGCGATTTATCACAGTTCGCAGAACACTAATAAACCCCAGGTTCTAGAAACAGAGATAATCAAACGCGGGAGGGGGCCCGACACGGACTCGATCGCGAAATTCAATTAGCACGAACGCGATTTACCCGCGCCGGCCGGCTGTAGAAAACGGAGAAAAACTCCGTTCCACGCTATCGGAGGAGCGCGTGTGGTCTAGTTTACAATAGCCGAGCGTTATCGGTTATCAGTTACGAGCGCGTTACCCGCGAAATCCTTGAGCGTGTCCGAGTACAGAATAAACAGCCGTGTCGACGACCGGATTTCTCCTCCAGTCGTCGGACTTTTATCGTGAATTTTCACGAGCTCGTTATACGAACGCGGCCGGACGAATTCCCGGCGATCAGTAACGCCGGCGACCTCTCGACCCGCGGCTCGTAAAACCCGACCATTCGATTCCGAGAATCATTGGGGGGAGGGGGGGGATCGTACGTGTAACAAGTGCATGTACACGCCGACACCCCGCCAAGGTTATCCTTATCGTTCCGTAAACACGTTTCATGCAATTTAGCGGGATAACGGGTCGTTGCGAATAATCGCGACTGAGTGATTCCTCGCTCGCGGAAATCGATGTTCTTGAGTGTAATCGCGCAACCTCGCGTGATTTCGCGAAACGGAAAGTCTCCCCTCGGTATTATCGATTCCCCGAGAATGCGCGAGAATTTCAAAAGGCCGGGGAGAAGATAAAAATATCGGGCCGTATTATGAATTCACTTTTATCAATAAAAGTGTCGTGAATGTCTCTTGTCAGCCAATTAAGCGGTTTTCCAAGCCACTTTCGGTGACACTTTTATCGATTAAACTGAGCGGAGAATGCGATGCATGCATCAGAAATATTATCGGAGAGGTCGAGAGAGACGATAAATTAATCGAGGGAGAATTTAGAAATTAGAGATTCGTTATTTCCACGAGACCGAGACGCGCGCCGGGCCATATCTGAAGACGAGATTCAGAGGAATCGCGCGGACCCATTTTTAAACCGAGGACCGTCTGACCTTTCGCCCGACCCTGATTCCTACGGGATCGTTAACGATAGCGCGCGGCACACATGTCCGGGATATACCTGATACACTTAAATTTATCGACGGTCTAAAAATGAAAATCCTCCGCTTTCTGCGAGCGGAGATCAAAGTGCCTGGCGGAACTTTTACGGCATTAAATCGCATCTCGGCAGGGCTTCCATTCTGATGTATCAAACAGGGCGGATTAGAGAGACGAAATAAATAGCTATCGGTTTGGTCATCGGGGCAATCTGACGGATTTTTAAACAATCGGGAGAGATTAATCTGTTCCTCACCATTATTCCGTTCTTTTCCACCTGAGTTTTCGTATCGTATTATAATAATCAGCAGTGATATTTCGCAAAACAAGCAGACGCGTCGTTAAAATATAAAGTTTATACTTGGATACAAAATATTGAATAATCTGAATAATCGCGAGTGACAAAAATCAAAAGTGATACGTTACAATATCAATATACGCTATATTATATTAAAATATTTAATTATTTAATATTTAATTTAATTTAATTCACGTGTCCTCCGGTCAAATTTATCGCGTCTATGTACGTCGACGTACCTCAACAATTATTAAGATGTTAAAAGATCTTATTAAGATACGATGTTAAGTATTATTAAGACCGCATAATGGTACACAAGCGCATCCAGCAAATTTCGAAACGTTTAACCTTTCATCGTTAGTCGCCACATGTTGCTCAATGAACGGAGGTTGCCGGGTTGAACAAAGACGCTTCTGTAAAATCTCAAGTTACCGGCTGTGAGCTCAATAAATCAGGCATGGTGCGAAACGTTTTCGTCGGTCGTGCAATAACTATTTTCTATTAGAGGAATAAATCTTTCGATAGACGATCGACGTCTCAATCATTGATAGGAGCGGTTCAATCGCGATCGAGGCACGATAGACTTGCACAACGCTCGATTCCCTAGTTACCGAGCGATAGGCTGGTATTAATGGTCGTAAATTATTTACGATCTCCGATTGAGAACGCAATCAATTATGCATTCGTATTCATCGGACCGTTATTCGGCCGTTTGCATCAATATTTCTCGTATGAAATCAATATTAATCCTTTGAATGTGGAGCACTTCAGAGCTACGTGATCGCTGAGAAGGAAATATATTGGGTTGTCGTGAATCAATCAGTAAAAAAAACACAACTTGAATGAAAGACTTAACGAGAGATTAATTTTTAATTGGATAACGTCGCATTTTCGATCGACTTATACTTTCGTGTAGTACCATTTTCAGCGCCTAACTATGATCAGCTAATGATCAGGACAGATTAAAGGATGCAGGATATACCCGATGGTCGGCGATCATAATGTCTAACGCGAATAAAAAAATTAACGAAATTATGAGAGAATAAAGTTCGTTGTATCATTTATGACCTACTTATTAATATTCATTGGTTTATTACATTTATTTATCGCGCAACACTCTTTCCGCAGAATTCAATAATAATGAACACATATTGTTTGTTGAAACTGAGGGAAAAATATAAATAATTTCCCGTCGCTAACGCGATCAGAGACCATCGCGGTTTTCCGGCGCTCGGCGATCTGGGCCGATAAAACGGGAAGCGAGCGGAATCGCCACGAGACAAATAACCACGGAGAAATTCCCCCTAGGATTCAGCGCACACGCATTCGCGAGAATTGTTTCTACTAAGCGGCGCGACATCAAAGACTCCAGATGTTGCAGACGGCGATTAAGTAGGTCCGCGCTCTCTTTGAGCTCGGATCGGCCAGCGTCGCGGGGGAAGGTGCGTACATGCGGCGCGGGGAGAGATGCAAATTCGCCTATTAAACTTATCTCGGAGAGGAAATCTGCCGAGGGTTCACGGGGGCGTGTTGGGCCACCCACGATTGAAAGGGGATCGCCTAGCGGGCAAATTTATGCGATCGTAGTCCGCCGTGCGCGAATGGTGTTACATATTTTGTCATGTCCGTATGGATAATCTCGCGTCGACGTCCACCATCATCGCGATGGAATGCGAGAAATCTGACGGAACCTGCGCGCATTAATCCTTCGCACAGTCCGATTTGCCTTCGACCGATTCGTAGAAATTCATTCACTTCGCGACGATATCGCGTAATTTGCAATAATCTCGATAATTCTGCATTTAATTAATGCAACGACATATCGGGCCGTGCGACAAGTAATTTCGGATCTTTCAAGTAAAATGAAGCGATTATATTTTAATGTAGTCATAATTCGACGAAACAATACATAGGATGAGAGAAGATCATAAGGCGAGATAGGTGTACACATTGTTTCGTAAAATTATAACGACATAGTGAAAAAATGTGACGTAATCAATACATATTCGTGTACTTTTCGAAACATTCCCCATGTTGAGGCTCACCGTCAAATCTTTTGCCGCGGGCATAAAACTACGGACGTCTCATTTTCCCCGAAAAAGTCGAAATCACTCATTACACGATGAAGTATTTATAATAACGTATTTACATTCGTATGTATCTTTTTATGCAATCAATTACGTCAAATGTGTATACGAAAAGTTGCCGGATCAAATTGTCGCTCCTCAAACGCACGGCTTTGATTTGCGCAGGGTGACGACGACAACAACGGCGACGAGGACGAGGCTTCGGTCGATACAACGTCAGCGTTCACCACGAGGATGGCAGCGACGACGCCGAAGTGGTCGGCCAACCAGCACGGTAAGAACACGAGGCCCTATGAAAGAGGCGCCGCCGCACCGTATAATGGGTACCAACAGCCGAAAAACGACTATCCGCCGATGTCTGCTCACAGCGTTTACAAGTGGCAGACGCTCGGCAGTCGCGAGAGCGTCAAACAGACCAGGAACAACATGCAGCAGTACAATAAAAACGGTGAGCGTAAGTGTGTACTTCGGGTGGCAAGTGGACGCGTCAATAACCCTCGGCTTGGTTTCTCAAACATCTTCATCGACGAAAAAAGGGGGTGGACGTGGTGGGAGGGACGCTCTAAGGAGAGCGGCTTGCGATCTCGCGACTACCCCTCCCTTCTTAATTGGTTTATGCAAATGCGCGCGACGTCATCCCACATTTTCGCCGTCGATTAATAATTTCAACTCGGCCCGGCGAGACGTTCCGAAATAATTACTAATCGTTATTAAAACCACGCCGGTGGTCCGGTGGTTCTCGGTGGCGGTGTTCGATCAACGTAATAACACGGCTATATTTCTCGAACGTCTCTCGGGATCGATCGACCGCGGGGTAATTATCGGGACGTTGCTTTTCGTCGCGGCCGTCGACGACGTTGCGTGCGCCGTATGCAGATGTTTGTGGAAACTGCCTCGACTGACTTACATGCCTCCCCCCTCCCGCTTGTACGCTTAACTAATGCATTATGCGCAAAATTGCCCGGGATGGGTTACCGCATCGACGTTACTATTTGCGCCAATCCGCCACGGACACGATGTAGCGGTTATCTGCCGCAATTACGAAACCGAAACCGGCGCATAAATCATCCGGCAATCGGCCGCGATCGTGATCGAGCGGTATTCGCGCAGCCGCGCGCGGACTCTCTCTCTCTCGAGCCGTTCCAGCGCGCGAGATCCATAACGTTGCATAGCGAGCGTAACCGTAAAATATCGCATAGTTGGCCGTCTAGTTAGTATAATGGACGTTTTTATAATTACCCGCCGCGAGACGCGGTATAAATTCGTCCGTGTGCCGCATTGCGATTGCATTACGACGTCCAAGCGCCTCTATTTATTTCTCGCAGGCACCTCCTCCATCTGTGCGATTGCACAAGCGCCGTTTTACACTTGCAAGGATGAAAGAAAGGCGCGAGAAAGGAGACGGAAGAATTCTCTCTCATTGGGGAGCAATCTGTCTAAGCGATCATCACGCGGCGCGATCTTCCCGATACGCACGTCACGCGGAATAGCTCGAAACCAGATCCCTACGACGTTTTTCCACACGTACATTTATTATTATTTATTATCGTTATTATTCATCGTCATATCGTTATTTGTAACGTGTCAGGAGAGACCAGGGCATAAAAAGTCACTTTTCTTACGTTTGACTTAATTATATTTTTCATTATATATATACATATATATATGTAGCTGCAACTTTTAGCTTTAGAAAAAATAGTAACCTTATTCGTTCATAAAAAAATTATTAAGCTCAAGCAAAACAGTCAATTATGATCACTATTTATTTTTTATTTGCGGGAAGATATTAGCTTTTTAGCACAGTACGTTACAATCTGATGACATAAATAAAGAAAAATGTTTACAAAATCGTAACTTCACGATCGAATTCACTTATTAAAGGTCTCGCGAGTCTCCCAGCGAGGTCTCTATTTATCCTCGAATCCGCGTTCTACCATTTATCGCGACTGACGTAATCGGCGCGCGATCGCCGCGTTGAAGTCTCTTCCTTCGCGATTGCCTGTCGAATCGGATCACGCCGGGCAAAACGGCGCGACACGTTCGCGTAAACGCGGAAAACGAAATTCCACGGGAAACGGTGCGACGGTGTCGGTTTATTAATATGCAAATTAACAATGACGATTGTGCGCGGTACACGCAGGCCGCGGCGTTACGGTAAACTCTGGCGTCGCCCTCCGCGCGAATTCCCTCGTGTCGCCTCGCGAGAGCAATGTATCACGCGCGCACGTGCGCGCCGCGGGATTGTCGGGCCTTGATTCATACCTCCGTTGATTGAGATCGATTTATTATCACTCGCCGCCGGAGCGATAGCGATCTCGCAGTCTCGTGCGCCTCCTCCCCTCTTTCCCGTTCCGCGAGACTCCTCGATCATCTTTTTCGAATTACGTTGGCACACACACACACACACACACACACACGCGCGCGCGCGCGCGGGAAGAAATGCTATAGTATGAGTAAAATTGGTTAACAGCGCTGTAATTGGAATAAATCTTGATTCAGTAGCAATATTATTGAATCTAACATTCAAATTAATAAAAACAATGCGTGTATAACATATTACTTTCAATAATATTGTTACCGAATTCAGAAGATTTATTTTACTTATTTCACGCTGTTGACCAATTTTATTGATACAGCAGTATTTTTTTTATTTACAGAAAAACCTGAACAGCAAGACTAAAACCGGCTCCACGCGATGTGATAAATATAGGCGAATCATCATCGAGAATCTAAATGAAAATGTTACATTCTCGATATTTTTCGAATGTAACCGTTCAATTATCGCTTAATCGCTTGAGTTTTGCTACTTACGCTTTTCGATGCGCCTGTTTTACTCGCGTCCGCGGGATTTTGACGAGTCGACGATTCTGCAACTTCCGCCGGAATTTATCATTACATTTGCCTTTTTTCTGGGTAATTCTGCGATCCTCCTCGGCGAAAGGAAAGAGAGAAGAAGCCGGGGCGAACGGTGAGCGCGCAAGAAGCTTTCGCGGAAAGTATCCGCCGTCATGGACGATATCACATTCCGTTAACTCGTATAATTTTGCATATTTGCGGCATGATGTGCCCGGCGTCGAGTATGCCGCCACCGTGTCCTTCGCGGCATCAGACACCGTTGATCAAATACTTTCGAGCTGAGTCAGGGGTTAAGTTGGCGCGCGCGCTAAACCAGCTAAACCGGCAAAAGAGGAAGAGTAAATTATCGATAAGCTTGCGGCTGTTCCTCTCCGTCGCGGCGGTAAATAAATGCGGGGGAATAAAAAAGAATAAAGTTTACGTGTCACGGGACGCGTGCGTCGCGAGCTCATTCTGAAAATCATAAAATGCGCCCCGGACGATCGAATCGCCTTTCTCTCATAATATATTCCGGAATACGTTTGAATACGTTAGGATGCGCGCGTGAGAGCACATACTTCAGGATTCCTGACGGTCGTGCCTCCATTGTGCGAACGCGCCGGTACGATCTCAGTGTCAGTGCGGCCGAGAGCAACGCCTACGTACGAAAATTAGCATAGCGCGCGATTCCACCCCCCCGAGATTAGACGGGCGGACGATTTCGCGATGGTGCACTTCCGAAATCTCTTCCGAGATCAACCGCCGGATTCCTCGTACGCGCGCCGCGCGGACGTCGCTTCCGGGGGAAACTCGCTCGAGCAAAGAAATAGAGCTGTTAATTTCATTCGTTTTATTCCATTTACTTCATTCCTTTATTTTATGCTTCATATATTTAACTTATTTACATAATTAATTAACCTGTTATTATTAATATTTATATAATTTCGTTTATTTGTTTATTTACGGAGATCATCCCATCGGTATAACATATTTGGGAACTTATTTCCGTTTCCCACTTTAAGACTTGACGTAAAAATTAAAAATTTCAACCCCGGGACATAACATCAAGAAGAAGAAAGAGAAACCTACATGTAAAAATACAACAAAAAAAAGGCAAGATTTTATAAGGCCTAATTAATAAAAATGAAAAAAAAAATCTTGTTTGCCTAAATATATACGTTTCATAATACTTCGTTCCCGAGAAATACGCAGGCATAAATATTAAAACGTCTCTGCGTTAAAAAACGAGTCTCACTTTTCCTGGATTTCCTAGTGTTTATACCGACTGGACGTCGATAAATCGAACCGATGAGCTCTGCGTGAGTTGACGTATTGAAGTATCGTAACCTTCAGTGGCGACGTTAGCCGCAGCGATTCGTAAATTAATCCGCGATCTGACGCGACAAACGATGCTTTAATGGAGGATAAGTAGCCGACGAGCCGTAAGCAGCTGGGATTCACGATCGTCTCCGCGCGGCCGCCGGCAATAATTTTCGATTAGGAACGACGTCGCTGTCATGTGGTATAATTCATGAGACGCATCAACCGAACTTGATCTTATTAACACCGTCGTTCGACGCATGTAATCGAGATGCGTTACTAGAAGCTCAGCTATCCTAGACCCGCAATTTATATCGATTGAGCAGTTGAAATTGGCGTGCGTGCATATCGCGCTCTCTCCGATGAAAATACCTCGCGTGCCGTCTCTGGTCGAGCCTCTTCGTACCGGAATAATTCGAGGGAGAAAAAAAGGAACCGAAGCGCGATCGCAAGGATGGACAATGCAAGGCGATGCAATAAACGTTAACGAGCGCACTTTCCCCGCGATGATCGCCTAGCGGCCGCTCTCGTGACCCTCGCGACCCTCGTATAAACGCGGCGTGAGCGGCGGATCTCTATTCGCTTCCTCAAACGTTCGCTCGCATCCGTCTTCGGATTCCTTTTCACCCTGACATTTCGCCGCGTTGTTATTATTTGTACTAGAATCTACGGATCCCCGTAATGCCACAATGCGCGGTTTCTCCGTGCGCGCGCGCTCAGGCGAATTATGCGGAGTGACGGCGTCCTCGTAATTATCGACAGTACGTGAAGCGCGCGTAGAAAGCGATTAGCTATCTCCGCGTTGAATCAATAGAAAGCACCGGCGCGCGACTTATGTCACTTAATGGCAGAGGTTCGTCCGCGCGCGAACTACCCGCCGCGCGATCTCGATCTCGCGAATTTCGCCTCTCTCGCTCGCGCGCCGTGCGTATTATATCGGTAACCGAGCGTGTCGGGGGGCCTATCTAACGAGCAACGAGGAGATCCGTCGCGATAAAACCGCTCCGACGAGACTCCCCGCTCTAATCTGACCTATCCGCTCTCTCTCTCTCTCTCTCGCCTTTATCGCGGACGCTCCCCCGCGAGACAGTAATTAATGAGTTACACGGAATGACGATAAAGCCCGCCCGTTGCTCGTTACGGCTTACGTAGGACGGCTCTCTTACGCAGCTCTCTCCTAGCTGCCCTTCACGACAACTAATAATTCACCGGCTCTCGGGAATCTCGAGGAGTCTTCGGGGGAAGGTCGGGGCGAGTGTTTCGAAAACCCCGGGACTACAAGCCGTCCCGGAAGTCGTCGGATCAAAGAGGCGATCTCCTCGAAATGCCGTTGCGCAAATCGAATCGCGCATGCGTAGCTGTGTTCTCTCGGAACTTCCTAAGTAAGCGCGCAATTGTTACACATACACACAGCAATACGGCCCGAGCGTGTAGCCGGAGCTTTGCTTTCGTTCGGCTTCGCGATTTAGCCGCACCTGCTGCTCTTTGATAGGATTACAGGGATTCTACCACACCAGGATTAACCGGCGAATGTTTGCCCGTAGATGCTGCATTGGTAGAAGCTGCAGAATATTGGAAGAAGGTAAACACAGAGGGCACCTGTAAGTGGCCGCGCGCCAAAGTCATTCGAGTCAGTGACTCTTACCCGGATTCGTCCGTCATCTACCATCCGCACTGCGCCATATTGCACGAGTGCTCGGACAACACCGGATGTTGCAAGTCGGAAGCGCTCACCTGTGTGGCGAAGAAGTCCCATCCCATAATGCTTACATTCTACGTAAGTCCGTCATATACTTTTATTCTTTAATTAAGAAACGATCGCGGTAGGAACGCTCTTACCGTCCCGGCCGATCTTGGGCGCCCGGATTGGACGAACCTCCGACGTCTTCCGCGAGATTGATCGATTTAGAACGAATTAATAAAAAAGACCAAAGGAAGTAACTCGGAGAAAATGCAGTTGCGATCAAGCGGATGCCAAAGTTGAGAGACGAACTTGATAAGCGTCAATAATACGAGTAACGATCCTCAAAATGTTATGTTACGTAAAATATTGACACAATTGCGCCACTCTTGTTATGTGCGACATGAAATGCGGACACGATGAATGCACGTTATTCTGTTTTATCATATTTAACGAAAAATCAAATCAAGATATGTGAAAATGTTTCCGCAAAACTTCTATCTCTTCGAGTCTCTGCGCTGGGAAGAAAGTATTGAAAAATTTAGCTGTGGAATACAAGATTTATTCTGCGAAATAAATCTTATATGGTGCAAGTAAGTTTTTTGTGAAATAAATTTTATATCCCACAAAAATATTTTTCGGTATTATCTTCTTGATGCAAATTTTGTCGGGAAGATATAGAAAAAATGTTCTGTGAAATTGGAACATCGACACGCTCGACCCGTGTAAAGCTGCAGGATTTCTGTGCCAGGTAGATATTTACGCCAACCGGCAGCTTGAAATGTCACTTTGACATTTTTAATCATTTTCGCGCGTAAACCGAACGATACTCCAGTTTCATTTCTCGCGTATTTCTATGAAACATTTATAATTCCATGACGACACCGATAATACGCAAACTTTGTCGAAAAATAGCCTCCTGTCGGTAAAATTCCCAAAGTATCCGCTTGATTCTCGTACAAACGTGTACCGCGCAGGCGTTGGTACGGGTTTCGTCGGCGATTCCGCGACAAAATTCCCCGCGCGCTTTCGACGCTTGCTCACTTGCAATTCAACGTACATTAAGTATGCGCGAGGAGCCGTAATAATTATTAACTGCCGTGACGCATAATTTGCCGGGATAACGTATTAAGCGTATTAACGGCGCGCGCGGCGGATCGATCGAACGATAAACACTCTCGTAAATGCGGGCTCGCCGCATGCCGGATAAATCGCCGAGAGAAAGAGACGATTGCAGAGACGGTGCAGATCGGGCAACGAGAAAGAGAGAGAGAGAGAGAGAGAGAGAGAGATGGATGCGCCGACGTAAGGAGGAGGACTTTATCCGGCGAGAGAAAGTACCATTAATCGTGTAAACTGTATTGCGGGCAATTTATTAGCGGGATGTCCCGAGGAGCCGACAATATGCGGGCATGATTTACGCGGGACGTCGCCGCGACGTCGAGCCGCAAATCAGCGAATTCTTCCTTTCTTTTCGCCCCGGCGATGCAAGATCGTTAGATCGTTGCGCGAACGACACTTTGCACGCTCGCGTATAAATTCCGAGACCGCGGTAAGCGGCTATTTTCTCTCTCTCTCTTTCTCTTTCCCCCTTCCGCGCGGGCCCGGCTTGTTATCGCGTGCACGGAATTGGTTGCTCGCGTGAAATGTCTCTTATCTAACCTACATAGGAATAATCGTAGTAATTGGTCCGGTTTCGAGCGGACCGCATTAGTGTCACGGAAAACAAGTGGCATTATACGGCGGCACGACGGCAAATGTTGGCTAATTGAATTATTTTTACCTCCGCTGGACGCTACCAGACGCGCGCTCGAGACTGCGTCGTAAATCCGAACGTGAACTGTGAACGAGGTAACGAACGAACGAACGACCTCGGATTCCACGCGTTCAACGGTCGCTAATAATTCCCACACACGAAATATTTCGTTTCTTTGCAGACATCCGGTAACATTAGTAGTACAAAATGATACTTCGAGTAATACGCGATTGTATTGACGAGTCAGCTTTCGTATCGAATAACTCTCAGGATACGATAAGAAGGAAAGAAAGAAAAGCAAACGCTGCCTATCTCGAGAGAAGCGCGAGACGCGTTTTCCTCGAGGCTGCTTCTCTCTCGCCCGCCGTGACACCGCCATTAAGATATAATTAACACCATGGGGGAAACGACGGGTAAACATGTCCCGCGTGAGTTGTCAATACACGTCGATTCGCGAACGCTGGCCCGCTTAAGAACGCCGCCTCGCACGCTCGCTGTAATGTGACGGATGACACGCGCCGTCGTCCACGGTGGTCCGCCGCGTCACTTTAACGGGACGGCTGTACTTAAGCACGTTTATACACGACGGTGATCCCCGCGGAAAATTATTAGGTCTCCAGTCGCGCTATGCGTGTCCATCGATACGCGGGGTTTAACGTTCGCTCACGAGCGCGCGCGCGCGCCTAATGACGGCCGTCCCGTCGAAAATTCCGTGCCTCTTCCTCCGCGACAGCGGTCACTCGAGCGTGTGATCCGGTGTGATTCGGCTAGGGATCCTCATAGGGAGAGAGAGAGAGAGAGAAGCAGATTCGTCATGTGATCCAATCTCCTTTGTTTCTTAGTTAAAGGCGCCAAAGTTCCTGCTGGACATTTTACAACATGCACGAAAATTCGGAAATAATATGTACATACTCATGGCTTTATTTCATGTACATAAAATCGAAGAGACAAGCACTTCCAAGATTAATAACGTATCACTTACGGAGACCCGATTGTTGTAGCGCGACGAATCAACCTCAACTTCTAACCCTTCCTCCAATCTATTCTTGCATCAAGATCGGGCACGGTCCACTTAAAGCCGCGAAAACGATTTGGAGTACTTGTAGAAAAAATACGATTGATCGACGTACAAACATACGAAGCATTTGCAACGCACAAGGAGCTTCGGTGCTTTTAACCAATCAGAAGCGACGAGTTTGCCATACTCACCTCATGAGTCTCTCTAAAGTCGGCGCGAAAGAAACGTCTTCTCGCGTGAGGGTATTTTTCGCGACGCGGGCGCGGAAGTACGTCGAGGAGGAGAACGCAGCGGCGGCGCCTCACTGCGGCGCCGACAAAGGGCGCATTCCCAGCCTTAGACCTTCATTTGGCGAATAGCCGGTAGTCGTGATTGTGCAACTGGTCGCGTTTACGGGTTTAAGCCCGCACCTCTCACCCGCAACCCGATACTTTGCAGCGCCGTTTCATCGGGCGATTACGGCCCGGGAGATCGACTTCCACCTCTCGCCGCGCACCATCATCATTCCCCGAAGCCCTGACCTAACCCAATTTCACTTACGCCGGGAGAAATCCCGCGGCGCATGCATGCCGGAGTTTCCAGCGGTCTCGAGGGACGCGGGCTTGGAGAGCTGTGTGTGCATACCCGGTGTCGATAATTACCGGTGTCGGGCCCCCTCGAATTAAAGCGCCGACGCGTAAACGCAGACGCCGGGATTTCAATTTTACCCCCGGCTGATTACACGTTCCTCTCGGCCGGTGAGAAATTTTCCAATTTCCCGCGAACGCGAGTCATATACATAGTCGCGAGCGCCGCATTTCGCGGTGTGACTGATCAGGCACACTCGTGTCATAAATACGCAATTCAAAGCCGAATAAACCGACGAATCTCGCTCCTCTCTCGTTATATTTATCGCTCGCCCGGCCACGCCGGATTAATTAGTCACCCGATCGCCCGCCCCCACCGATGGTATTATTATCCCCGCGTAATGAATACGTAATGCCATAAGCGCGCCACGGGCTGCGCCGTAACTCGCGGTCGAACGAATCGATGGGAGAGACAGGCCATTAGCAGGATTTAATGATGTTTCATAAAAAAGGAAAAAAGAAAAAAATGGCGATGTGCGACCGAATGTTGCCCGATGAAAATCAACCGCGCCGATTACCGCGCGATGAGAACGATTAAGTATCGCGAAACGGCCGTTGAGGTCGACGCAACTCGCGTGAAATACACGTTCGGCGATTAATCGAGATTTCTTTCGGTCCCTTCGGCCTTTTCTTCTGGCACAGTACACACACACACACACACGTAACGTCGATCGGTCGCGCTTAATTAATTGCGTGCCGAGCGATCGTGAGTGCGAATCGCGTCGGATCGGAATGCGAAGGAAAATCGAGAGTCAATAATAAGAGAGTCCCGCTCGGCGGAGAGAATATGTTGACCCCTGATCTCTCTTTCCGATTAATTGCGAGCAAGAGGTTTCCCCGTTCGTCCGAGCTTTCTCTGGAAACCGGTGATTTGTGAATATGTTAATGCCGCACACCTATTATTTCCGCATCGGTCCGCGACGGGAGAAAATTTACGATCGGCGACCCGCGTGATTCTATCATTGAATGTACTCGTTAACGATGATGCCATCGATCGAGGGAACCGGCGTATCGACTCGCGGACCTCGTCGGTGAACCCGTCGGCGTCGATTCCAACGACCCCGCGTGGAATTCGAATCCTGCCGCTGGACTGAATGAATCAATGAATCCACTGATAAATGCGCCCTGTTTACATCGTCAGGAAACTGATGACGCGCGGAGTGTGCCCACGGTCGTCGCACGTTAATCACTTTCTTATCTCCTTGCGAGAAATCCTAGACATTTGGAAGGAAGATATCCAAGCGGCGGGAGACAACCGACGATTACGTCGTGAGATGGGAGATTTATGGACGACGCGCGCAGCGAAGAAATCAATTGTCGACCGTATTTTATCTCTAAAGAAGCGACTTTACAGACGGGACTGTTCGCTTTCATAATTCTGTGCTGAAAATCCACATGGAAGATATCGCGCTAAGCGTTGGTGAATTATCCCGACGCGCGGCGGAAAATCCACGCGATCTCTTTGGCGGAACTTAATTCTTCAATATCGATAAAGATATCGCAGTTCGGAAGATTCTCGGTAATCATGCTGGGCTATCGATTTCGCGCGTAACGACGTGCGTCCGTGATTTTACGATCGACAATTAGCCTTTGAGTTAATTCCCGAGCGATCGTCAGGCAACAATGGCCACGTATAAAGTTCCGTGCAGAGGACGACGACGAGGGTTGCGGCCCAATCGCCATCTATCATCGCCAC